AAGAAAGTAACTGATGTGAAGAATCAAATTTGAAAGCAGGAGATCATAGAAAGTATTTCTTAATTGAAGGCAGAGATGTACAGAAACAGAGATATGTTGAGAAACAAAGAACAGTCATTTCTTTCCTTGACATGACGATGGAACTATATTGCTACTCTTCTATCATCTAAATATCATGGGCAGAACTAGTCCGCCACATTTCTCTGGATGTCCTTTTTATCATCAGTAAGCTTGACAAATATACCTTGGCTGCATTCTAATTTACCAAAAGATGAATGGAATCTTTTGAGCTATCATCCATTTGATACAGAAGAAAAAGTTTGGGTTGCTCTGAAGCAGGTTGAGACATCTCAGCTTGTGGTTTGTTATGCAAAGGTGAATAAAAGAATTTGGTTATGCTGATTTGTGCTTAGCAGATTAATCAGCACGAATACTTCATGTATATATGTAGTATTTACACTTGTACAGAGACCTTGCCACACGAAACTTCTACTGTTTGGGATTTCACATTTCAATTTGGATGAATACTATCAAATCTACATGAAGCTTATCAGCTTCATGTAGATTTGAGATAAGGTAGTGATGGTGATGGCCTTTTTTTTTTTTAGATAAGGTAATGATAGTGATGGCTCTATGAATACTATTTGTCCAATATTAGTAACAGATCACAGCTGGAAAATAAATGAGATCTTTGAAAGCCACATAATATCATAAATGAGATGGTGAAACTGGGTTATATTTATGAAATGGTTGAAGATCTTTACCATTGCATGATTCAAGAATATTACAGCTAAGGAGACTTATAGGGATGATGGAGGTAACAGAGAGTGGGATGTTTATGTGAATAGAAATCTTAATGATTGGGAAATTGAAGAATATAAGGCATTGCTCCACTTACTTTCTAGGTTGAATCTGAATGATAACAGGGATCAGCGAGTTTGGAAATTTAAGAAGAAAGGAGAATTCACAGTCAAGTCCTAGTATAATCAATAGGTTGGGAATGAAGCTGAGAGTGGCACCAGGTTTCTGTTCGAGCAGATTCGGAAAGTGAATGCTCCTCCAAAAATTGTGTTTCTTGCATGGGAGGCGGAAAGAGAGTGGATATTAACCATTGATAAACCAATGAGAAGGGAAAATTATGGTAAATGGATATTTTCTGCGTAAGAGAAAAGTGGAGCCCTGTAATCATATTCTACTATGGTGTCCGGTGGTATATAAGTTACGAACTATTGTTTATAAATTATTGGGGATTAGGTGGGTTATTGCTGCTTGGTTAAAAAATGAGATTTGGGCATGGGAGGGTATTAGTAAGCGAAGGAAAATTGTAAATTGCATTCCGCTTACAACATTTTGGGTGGTTTGGAAAGAGAGAAATAGTAGAATTTTTGAGAACATAAAAGAAGAGTTTAATAAAATTCGGGACAGATGGTAACACTATTTGAGATCTTTGGTTTTAGGATATCCTATTTATAACATAAAGGACTTTGGAAATTTTATAAATATACTTATTGACTTGTAAATGATTTTGCACATAGGTGACACCTATTTGGTGCCTGAGATTTAATATATTTTTTATACTTTTTATTTTTAAAAAATAAAATCATCAAAGAGAAAATTACTACCTTACCATCAGGTAAATTAATATAGATATTAATATTTATTCAGTATGAGTTTTTGTTAACAGAAAATTTTGTAAATTATTAGGGATTAGAGGCATGTCTTTTTCAATTATAAGCAGGCAATGACATCTTTACCATGCAGTTAACTGCAAAATCTAAAGGTGGCCCCCATAAAAAAGACAAAGTAGGATATATTTCAAAAGAAAAAAGAAAGAAAGACAAAGGAGAATATTTCGTAGTTGCAAAATAACAAACAGAAACATAAGAAAGAGATCTCTAATTAGGATGGGCCTTCCAAACAGCTTCTGACAAGCAATGAGTGAAACAAGTTGGATTTTATTACGATTACATGGCCCCTGGTAGGAGCAAATCATGGAAGGTGGGGGCAAACGATTCCCCAACCATGAACTAGCGGCCAGATTAATTTGTCTAAATAAGCATTTCTTTATTAACTAAAAATCACCAAATAGCAATCAAAGAGTCATTTATTTCCATACTTCATCTCCAAAAGTCCATCATGAATTTTATTAACCAAACACCTTAGGTGACAAAGTATCTTTTGGAGTAGAAGGTTTCAACAAATTTCCTAGCATGCCTTGCTAGGCTATGTAAGCTACGTACTATAAATTATGTACAAAAGGGCGGCAGCACAGGCAGTTGGTTACCAAGGATCCAAGCAAGCTAGTCAACCGTTCCAGCAAAGCAGCAGGTGATACAAGAATTGCTCCTTTGAGCATGTTCTGCTAATTTTCCAACTTGGCTCAAAAGCTTCTTCTATTTCACAAGCTTCTTATTCTCCACCATGCCTTACCTGGGAATGGTTAAACCTTTACCTCTTCATTACAATTTAATTTTAAAGAATTCCATTCCACCCTCCAACCTATTCTACTTTTGTAGACAAACTCACTACACTAAGATCATTTGGTTGCCCTCACTGATCCTTACACCGCTTCCATGGTTGCTACTGCTTATCTGATAATTGTCCACAAACTCCATGGCAACCCACATGTTATCCTATGTGACCAGGTTTAAGTGTCCTTTGACTGACAATAAATAGCCACAAGACCTTAGTCAATGTGTTCTCTAGTTTGATCATTCAGTTCTATTTTTTGTAGGTAACCTGCAGAAAGTAAAATATCCTAAATATACCATGTAAATCGAAGATATTACACACTTAACATAGTCTAGAGAAGGAATTATCACTGTCATGCAAAAATTATCCATTGTTACCTTCACCGCTAAAAAATTAATAATAACTGTAGATTATCAACAGGTTTATAACCATAAAAATATTATCAATGGATTACCAATTAATTAGTAACTTATTCCAAATAAATTAACATATAGCAGCTGAGGAATTATTTTTTTGGTATTGATCGTCAGCTGATAATCTTATTTTTTTCTTGCAGTGCCGGCGAGTCAAGAAGCTTATGATTGTTTCATCATATCCACATAAACTTGTTTTTAACAGCATCTTGTACTGAGCTTATCATTTGCTTATGACCAAAATCATCATATCTCTTTCCCTAACTCATAAAAGAAAATAAAGAAAAGTCCTCATGGCATCCATTATTAGACAATCTCAAAAGAAGAAAAGTATAAATGTAAGGTACCTCGCATCTATCGACATCTGCAGTCCAAGCATTTGGAGGAAGTGAGGTTGGGTCAAGCAACTTGTATGGGTGGTCCGTTGCTGGGCTTACTGCAATCCTTGACAAAGTCTTCAACGCTGTAGACTACGGTCATGTAAAGAGAACAGCTAGGGCACCGAGCGATCACCTCGCCGAGTATAAGGTCCTCTTTAGTCATCTGGAACAGGTCGCCGCATGGACAAGGACAGATATGCAGCTGCTCGTTCCACTCCATGTCCTCTATCTCCAGGTCGTCGTAGGACATCGTTTTAGTGCTCGATCCCGAGTCCTTGGTTAATTAAATATTGATGATGAAAAGGAGGAAACATATCTATGTCAGGGTTAAATGGAAGCTTTAGCGGCTAGCAACACCAGAAGCAACGAAAACCCAGCAGCAAGCGTAAGCGCCAAAAATTGATAAGAAAAATGAGCGAAGATGGAAAATGTCGCGACAGACGATGAACAAAAATATCAGCGTGACTCAGTTCTTGTTTCAGAGGCTGAAACCCTTGGATTCGAAGGGGTCGGAAGCAGAACGAAACAGAGGATCAAAGAACCCAGCAGCAAACCTAATCGCGAAATATGAGCAACGATCGACGATGTAGCAACAGACGACGAACCGAAAATATTTGCTTGAATCGTGGTTTTATTATAGAGGTTGAAACCCTCGAAGTCGGAGGAGAAGGAAGCAGAATGAACCAGGGGATTGAGGCAGAGAGAATGGAAGACGAGTTTTAACTGTTGCTCGAACCCGTGTTCTGGTAACCAATATTTTATTCAGTAGCCACTGAAACACTTCAAAGGGGTTGACCAAGTCAACGATCTACACGTTATGGAACCCGCAATCTAATGCATTCCCAGTTTTATTTCTTTTTAATAATTGATATCTCTCGTCTGTAACTCATACTCGCCTAATTGTGTAAAATGAAAGAAAATAACTCCGACTACAAAAAAAAAAAATAATAATAATTGTATGATCTTTATAAATAAGCCTTGTGCCATGGAGTATATTGTAACAGTAGAAGATAATAATCAAGTATTATATATAGAAAATTTTTGGAATATGAGAATCAAAAAGCTAAAATCCGGATAGATCGAAGGAATTCCAATTGTCATTGTTGAAGTGATCATGAAGTAGAGAGAAATCCTGCAACTGCCATGAGAAGCTTGGCATGTTTATTGCAGCATCATCATCTTCAGGCCATATATTATAATCACTAATACTTCTACTCTGTATCACCAATTCATCATTCACCAACCCAAACAAACTCCTCTCTTCCTCTTCCCCTTGCTTTCCATCACCTCCATCACCAACAATCTGATCAGACAAACTCGTCTCTTCAGGTCCAAGTCTTTCCGGCGGATAACACCCACTACGATAAGTACCTGCATTAGCCTCTTGACCCACAAACCGATCAGCCTCATTTTGGTCATTCAAGAACCTGGCAAACACAACTGCTAGGTCAATGTTGGACTCGGAGCCAGTGTGCTGAGAAGGGCTACTCTTCCTAGTCCCAAATGGCTCGTTCGGCTTGCCATAATTGGGTGGAAGACGTGACTTGGTTCGAGTCCGATTCTTTCGACAGCCACCGCCAACAGGAACGTTTCTTAGCGAACCACCTTTGGTCCAATACCGTCTACAGGCTTTGCAGAGGTACCTAGGCTGAGACAAGCTGTAGTTATTGTAATAACAGAACTTGGTGTTGGAAGAAGAGCAGCGTGGGCAATTGGGTGCGACCTCCATGGCCCTACCATTACTGCAGTACAACTCAAACATTTGATCATTGTAAGAATCTCTGAGCATCTCTACGGTTTTACTTTGATTAGTTGACAAAAACAGGTAAGTAAGATTTTTGAGGTAGTGTTTATGAGTGTGTGTGTGTGTGTGTGTGTGTGTATATACGTATATACGGGGAAGGGGCGAGGTTTGATGATATGAAAACGTGGGCGGTTGGCGAGCCGTTCGGACCAAGAAATGTGAGTGCGTGTGCGAGTGGGTGGGCTGGAGATATTGTGATGGGGACTGTATGTACGTGAAGTCTACTGGTATGGTGGCGGATTAATGGGCGGGGGTGGATCATGTGGAGATTTCTGTATTGGGCAATTCAAGGGAGTGATTGCCATTCATAAGTCAATGCCTCTTAGTTGTCATCATTTTTTAAAAACTTTTACTCTTCCACTCTCAATCATAACAAGTTCAACCTTAATTTGTACATTTGCAGAACGATAATTCTTCTTTAACTATTTCGTCTATATCCTCCATTCTAAGCGAAAAGAGGAGAATAATGGTGGTTCTTTTTGAAAAGAGAAAGATGACTATTTTAAATTATATTTTTAAAAATATTAAGTGATCATAATCTTGGATGAACCGATTGAGTACTTACTCGTTTTTTTGGTAGAAAGAGACTCATTGTCGGATTTGTAGAGTATTTATTAGGTACTTCAAAATTAAAGATGATCTTACAAATTTTATAAATATGGTTGGTCTAGTTTAAATTATATTTTTATAATAATGTTCAAAAAATTCGAAACACATTCATCCATCCATCCATCATGTATAAATTTGATCATTCATTTATGCTCTTTAAATACTTTATAATTATTTAAATTAAATTTATATAAATAATATATTAATAAATGAATAATAAAATAATAGATTTAGTAGTAATATCACTTATAGTTATATTTATTCAATATATTGAACATGTGACCTTCTAACAAATCACAAAAATTTTAATAATTAAATCACTACGTTAACAGTTTATTATTATTATCAATATTTTAACCTCTTTAAAATTTAATTTTTTTTTATACAAATTAACTTATTTTAGATTTAAATTGGTAGTAAATTGAATCAAATATAAAAAAAAAAGATTGCCTTCATCTACCTCATTATTTCCCAGTCTTTCACTTCTAACACATCACCTTTAAATCCTCTTTCTCATTAACTACATTTATTTCATGCTTGGTACATGTCACTTTCTCGATTGCAAGTAAAAAAAATGACATATGAAGAACATAAGAAGTTTATAATAAATAAAGATAAAGAATATAATAAATATAAAAGAGATTAATATGTAAGATTCTACCTTCAAATAATATATCAGCTAAAATTTTACAACAAAAATCAACAGTATCTAGAATCTCATTAATTTACCCTAAATTAATTATGTCGTTTATAAATAAAATATTTTATCGAAAAGTGTGAGGAACATAAGAGAATCTCTATTAAATCTAAAAATATGTGAACTCAATAAAATAGTTTAAGATAGAAATTTTATAACTGGGGCAGTATGGATTAAAATTAAGAATTACCTTCCGACATACTAAATTAACAAAATGCATGCCAATTGTTTTTAAAATTGGTCACCAATTTTATTTTATTAATATGTTAATGACATTTAAACGAATAGATAATAATTTAAATATTTTTTAAAATAAAAAGATTAAAAAGAATAAAACAATTAATACAAATAAAACTTAGGATATCTAAAACAAATAAATTAACCAATTTAGTATTAGCCCAAAGATAAATGATTTTTATGCAATGATAATCATAGATTATCATTGTTTGAATATTTTATTATAAGTTATTTTATTTATTTGACTTACGGTAATTTTTTAAATTAAATAATAAAGTTGGACAAATTTTCATTAATTAAAATCTTGATTGGTAGTTGTTGCATATACCCATTTAATGAAGCAATAACATATATTAATTATGCTGCTAAAAACTTGCATTTTTTTGGTGGAATACCATCAAATATTTATTTAAACATAATTAATTTTAATATAAAATTCGTTCAAAATTATAATTTAGTCCAAAATTAATATATTATCTCAAATTGAATCTTCCCACCTATATATATATATATATACATATATATTCTCAGGCTCATATCAATGGATTCAATTATTTGATCACCCCATAATGAAAAATCGTGCACGTGAGTACTCAATGATGAAAAAGACATTATTAGCTTCAAAAGTTAATGACATATACTTAGAATGTAATATATATGATTTGATCTGCAATATATATCATCAGTTATATGTATGTGGTTTCTGTGACCGCAGGCTGTCGTCATCATCCGTATATACACGGCGGAGATTCATCCGCATTAATGAAACGTATAATGACATCAACCACAATGTAACATATATACGCGGTTTTAGTTGATATCATCATGGTCATATGGTGTATGTATATATATATCTATTAAGGCATATGCAGTTATCAATACGATGCAGTTTTGCCGTGGAAAATCAACTTCCAAATCACGTTGGCGTTTCACGTCACTTTCGTACATCATGTGATCTGCAGAGGACAAAGGAAATAAAAAAGAATCGATATTAATTTATTTATATTTTTAATAAAATTTTTTTATAAGCCATTATTTCTGTTAAAATAGCAAAAAATTAACAACTTACTGTATAATATAATTTAATTAATTGTGATTCATTTTAAAGAAATTAATACAAAGTAATTAAAATAAAATATATTAACTTATAAAAAATTTTACAATTTACTGATTAATATAATTTTGCAGTTATATATATATACATCGTAAAATATTATTTTTTAAATTGATAGTTCTCTAACGTTATAACTATTTACCAATGATGATTATTGTATTAATGTTCATATTTATCAAAAATTTATATATTAAAATTTAACATGTTTATCGCAAATATAATAAATGCGCTTATTGGGTTGACGAATTTTAATTTTTCTTTACAGTTTGGTTTTCATCAGCATGCTCATGGTGATCTCTAACAACTTGATTGATGTGACAAGAATTTTTTGGTTCAGAATGTGCACGAAAAACTCTTAATTTTCTTACTTTTTTAAGACTTCTGTCTCTCTTCGTAACAAAATAAAAATAAATTATAAAAAATTGTACAGCTTAATTAAATAATAACGAATAAATCAAAAATAAAAATGGTAATTTATGTGTAAAAAAGCTTAGCCCTCATATAAACCAAAAAGCCCAACTTATTTACAACGGGCCCAACGCCATAGGCCATATTTGCCAAAGCTCTAATTCTTCCAGTAAAGCTCCAAAAAGGAGAGAAGAAGGCTATGCAAGATCATAATGGTGTCTATGAAAATGGCGCCTATCAGAAGTCCACGACCCTCAATATATGTATATATCTGAAAGAAAATTCAGAAATACACCAATTACCTTCTTGTATAAAATATATATATACATATATACAAACTTATCAGTTACTTTTAATTAAGGTTTCTTCAGCATTTTATTGAGCCATATAGATGGACAAAATTGCGCAGAGACAAATTTGACTATCATTGTAGTTTCGGTCAGAAAAATTACAAAAGCATGAGGATCATTTGTACAAACCAAATAAAATTAAAAGTTGACACAACCGTGTCCGTATGCATGCTTGTAAGATTGAGACAAAATATTGGGCGGTGCCCTGAAATGCACGTCTGTTCTTGAGAAGGTGCCAGACGTGGGTATGCCTAGCCAGACCTACGCAGCTCGTATGCAAATCAAGCCAACATGAATAACAAATGGTTGGATCGAATTAATATTACGAAAATTCTAATCATAATTAAGTACTAGTTAAGTCTAGTATTACAACTAATCAAGAATTAAAGAACATGTATTAAAACTTTCACTACAAAAAGTTAAAAAGAATTTTCCTTGAAAGTTGCATCACTGCCCTTTACTCTCCACAGTTGCTGCAATTAGCTCGCGAAATGGGGTAAGAAAATATAACGCCACGTTTGTTTTTTAGATGTATACAGTGTAGCCAATGGTCATTAGCGCAATGAATGGTCTATATACCAACTCCAAGTTTGATTATTTCGACAGTCACATGTAGATGTAATGAGGAACATAGCCACGTATAGGTTGCATTAGATGGTAAAAAGATGGTTTTATGTGGTTTATGTTAAAACCGGTTATAAGCCAAGAATTTGTTTGTTTTATGGTATTAAATTAGATGAGATAATATGGCATTAATAGAAGCATGAATCAAGTTCATGGCGGTATGGTTTATTTTCTACTTCCTCCAAACATTAAGTTCGAAATTATTTAAGAATCTTATGATAATCTTAGCATCGACTAGAAAAGTAATATTAACTTGCTAATTATTCCCTATTTGAAAAGTAACTAGGTATGTTTGACCATTTTAATTTGAAAAATATGATTGAATTTTATGATATACTAGATTGTGTAGTTCAACGTATTAGCAATCTTTTTTAATACTTTTCTTTGACAAGGAGCAGAGATAAAATAACAAGTTAACTATAAGGCAACCACAACCAAATACTATGACAATTGGTTAAATACATTTTGGTTCCAAACTCTCACGAGGTTAGTTGACCAAGTTTGATGGACCCATTTGGCGTTAGTAGGTTCGGTAAGCAAGTAAGTTTGTATATGTATATATTTCTCTATGAATATGAGAATACATAATATCTCAATTTCAATGATAATACATGAACTTGTACCTCAACGAATGTGGTGAGACCACATTATTGACTAATCAATGAAAAAGACGCTTTATATACAAAGAATCAACTTCGATTATCAATTTTTGATAAACAAAATAAAAAAAAATATATGCATTAATAAATACAATGACAGATACGTCACAATATTATCTAAGAAACTACATCATAATACTATTTAAGAAACACAAAGTCAAAAATAAAAATAATAAAATAAAATCAATTAATACTGACTATTTTATAAAGTGAGTAGAGATTATGAACTATTAATTTACATAGACAATCATGTCCGAGAAATTCCTAATGTTATTATCTTGAATAAATAACTACCATAATCATAAGATATAAACAAGAAAAGATAGATTCAATAAGAAATGTGAGAAACATCATAGTTCATAAGTAAAAAGAGATTGGTGTCACTTGAGGAGGTTGTTAGCAATGGGATGAGTTTTTTCAAGAAGGAAGGAGGTGATATTAAGAGTAAATTGAACATTTTGTCTAAAATTTATTAGAGTTTAGTTCAACTTAATCGAGTTATATACTTATATAATTACAGCATGAAAGTGGTATTTTTATAAAGAATTAATTGTAAAAATGGTTTATGAATTTTTACTCGTTCTCCAATTTGACTATGACATTTGAATTGTGGTGATTAAATATCTAATTTTTTTTACCTTATTTTTCTACATCAATTATTTTAGTTTATTTATCATTTAAAAATAAATAAATATATATATGTATGTCTTCACTACGTAGATATTGTGTATCAAATTGATGATAATGACGATTACATTGAATTAAATTTTACAAAGAGTTTAAGTAAAAATTATATTGAACATGTTGATAAATTTGACTAAGTTGAGCATATTAAACTACTTGTTAAGTTCTTCATCAAATTTTTTTTTTTATCACACGAATGTTATAATTTTTTTAAAAAATCTACATATTTTAACATATAACTTAAGGATTAGATTAAAAAAAAATAAAAAAACAAATAAATGGTTTAGTTGCTGCGATTAAAATATCATATGAAACTTAAAAGAAATGAAATATTGAACAATTTTTATAATTAAAAATGTTTATTATGAGTAATATTTTATAATTTTTTCTTAAATAATCTTTTCTTTTGAGTGTTTTAGCAAGCTATACCTGGTTTATAATGAAAAGAATATTATAAAATATGTAGCTGACGTATGTCTACGTCCTCACCTGCAACGCTGACTCCGCATGAAATAACTCCTTCCGCGGAGACAATTTCAAACACACACACATATATATGTATATGTATATCCACTATATAACACGATAAGACCCGGCTTCTTCTCCAAAACTTAAGTAGCCAAAGTTTACTAAATCATTTTCTTCCTATTTATTTCTATTGACTTGCTCCTTCTTCATTTAACTATCTTTTGTAGTATCTGCCTTATATACATATATACATATACCTCACCTTTTTCCGAAAAAAAATTAACAAATAATAATATGCTTTTATCATTCTTGCATTCAAGTTCTTGCAGTCAGCTCTTTCTCGTTTTCACCGTCGATATTCAATATCTACCATGGATTCTTCAGATTTTGCTTCTACCAGATCTTTTAAGAAAGAGATCCAAGGTCCTCGTCCCAGTCCTTTGAAGGTCCACAAAGACTCCTACAAGATCAAGAAACCTCCGGTAGCCCCCCAACCACCGCACCACCACCATGAACCGCCACAGCACCGGCCGCCGGTAATAATCTACACAGTGTCACCCAAGGTAATCCACACAAACCCCAGTGATTTTATGACTCTAGTTCAACGTCTCACCGGCTCAACATCATCATCATCGAGAACGGGAACGGTAAATACAGCATCTAATAACGGTAACTGTGCAGGCGATATATCTCCAGCGGCTAGATACGCGACTGTAGAGAAGATCAGTAGGTCATCACCAGAAGGGAAAAATAAGATGATGATGATGAAGATACAAAGTAATGAAGATGACATGGGCCTTGTAGAGGGTTTAGAGATAGATCATGTGGTGGAGAGGACCAGTCTTTTTCCGGGAATTTTGTCACCGGGCCCCTCTTCACTGGCTCCTATACCGCAGAGCTTCTTTTCTCCGCCGTCTGATCCTAACTCCATGTTCGGTTTCTTTAATGATTTGAGTCCAGTTCTTCACGGTAACAAGAATTTTATGGAGGGTAATTACATGCTTAGTCCTACAAACTTTATCTTACCTTATACCACATCCCCACCAGCTACTACTCCGTCCATTGACCTCTTCAACAATTTCTTTGACCTTTAAATTGATATTTGAGAATGGATTTTATTTTATTTTTTAAAGGAGAATGGATTTTGATCTTTAACAAGCTCGCTCAGATTATGGAGATCTATACATGTACAAAAAATAGATCCTTATACCCCTCTTATCATCATCTTTTTTCCGTTCATTTCGTATACATGGATTATTCTGGGAGGGAAATTAATAAACTGGAGGACTGCTTGTTAATCTGTTCATGTTTATAGCAGCTTCCATGATTGTGGAAGATGATGAGGGAGGGACAAAAATGGTAGTTTGTAAGTTTGGAAGAGTGGGGGGTTAGAAAGCTGGATGGTTTTTAATGTCATGGATGGAAGGTAGTTGGGAACATTGACTAACTGAAAGCAAAATTTCTAGACCTCCTGTCTTTTGTTCCATTATTTATCGTGTATTCGTTGCATCTACTTACAAATTGATTAATCTATTCACACAATAATATTATATCATCTTCTCTTTGCCGTACTGCGTTTTGCAATTTCTGCATTTTAAAAAAAAATTAAATTAACTTCATAGCTAAAAACCCTAATTGGATATTATAGCACTCACCAATCTAACCATTTATTTTGGCTCTCTCTCTCTCTCTCGACATGTACTTGAACAAGCAAGTATGCATGTGATCGTGTGATGTGAAGATAGTATAACAGTTCTTACGATCATCATCGCAGTAACTTGAGTTAATATATATGCATGATTTTAGGTCATGTAATTATGTTTTGTTCTTTAAAATTTTTTTGTACTAGCTAGAAATTTCTCAATTTTTTTAAAATTAAAATAATGTTATTATAAATTTTAATTGCTAACCCATTATCTATTATGTTAAAAAAATTGATAAAAGAAAATATGTTTACGATGTGAAACTTGCATTACTGATGAAGATTAATAGAAAACAATATTTGTTTGTCAATAAAGTCCAAAACTTTATCGAACTCGCTTATGCTAAACTCAAATAAAATTACACCGAACAAAAATCGTTAGGGTAATTTCCCAATTTAAAAAAAAAATCATTTTTTATAATATTGAGTCCACATCCACTAAATAATTATCTAAGAAAATTGAAAGAATTCTACCATGCATTATACATAACCAACCAATAATTGGCTATAATCACTAATTTACTTTTGAAATTTTGTATGAGCCTTTGCCGAAAGAGTTTAAAATGCATGTCACTAAACCATATAATGAAACAAATGATCCCATGTACCATGCCAAGAATTCTAAAGCATCTATAATTTTACATGATTGGCATATTCTATACTTACCAAAAGGATCTATGACTTCGTTTAAATAGTCAAAAAATAAGTCAGGTAACTATAAAAATTGTTGAAATTAAAAGTATCTCATAATTATTACCATAAAAGACAAGAAATTCTAAAGTAATACTTGAAAAGATTCAACTTTAAAAATTGGAATTAAAAAGTATAAATGAATAGTTATAATAGTTGCATTCACCAATAGTTTTCAGCACATAAACTCTCGTCACTACTTAGTTAAAAAAAATTAACATTCTGGTAGCATCATCGTATTATTAACTAGAATAAAAAACTACATCATTGTTGAAGTAGCTAAAGAAACCGGTGAAAAAAAGAATGAATAAGAAAAATATTAGTTTGAAGAGGGAAAAGATTTCTAAAAAAGATTATCTTATGAAAATATATAAAGTGGGTATAAAAATTGTGCGTCATCAACATATCTTGTTCTCCAAATACAAATTTAAGATAAAATATGCAATAATTTTCTTGGTAAGATAAAATTTTTAACTTGAAAATAGAGATTATATCAAATGCTACTAATTCTATATAGATCATAGAAACCTCATAAACAATTTAAAAATAAAACTAAGACACTAGTAAAAATAAAACAAAGTTGTCGACACCATGACAAGGGAAGAAATAATAAAAGTACTGAACAAAACATAACTTCTTTGAACTCCAAAAGAAAATTAAAAAAAAAAAGACATGGTGATGAAGTTATTTGTTTATCAAGAAAGAACATGAAATGGGAAAGAATCTACCATAATGATACATTAGTTATAACAATTACTATTAAAGAATAAGAATTATTATTAACGTAAAACACATTTTAGTGAAATTAAATACTCATATAAAGCATTTCAAAGACCTTATCAGAATATTCCAAACCTTAAGAAAATCATAAATGAAGTAAACCTTTATGAATGCATTTTTGGCATCAACAAGAGAAAATTCTTGAAATTCTTACATCATTAGGAGGAGAATAGAAGAAAGGCCTAAAAAATTCTTAAATCATTATAGATATGCAACCCCTTTCTAACTAAAAAAAGAAGGTTCAAAGACTCGTGGGTGATTAGTCGCTCTCAATACATTTCTCTTCTAAGTGTAAATAATTTTCTTTTTTTTTTTGTTGAAAAAGAAAAAAATGTGTCTATGACCAGGAATATCCACAAGTTTTTAAAGTCCTTAAACATACCTAAGATAATAAATGCATGCTTTAGTCCCAAGTAAGCATGGAGATTCATTTCAAGTCTTTCTTCGTAATTAACTCCCACTCTTAACCATATGACTTACAACATCATAGTCATAGTATTAGAAAATATTTAACGTATGATTCTCACATTTCTCTTTGTGCAAGTTTTCATAGAGAAAAAAAAAACATACTCTCAATTCTAAGATAACCAACAATATAAAAAATTACAAAAAATAATAAATATAAACATAAAAAAGTACAACTTATTTTTCAATATTAATCAACTGTTTATTTTTAAGTAACAGATCAGAAAATTTGAGTATTAATAAGATATATGATTATTGTAAAGTATTTATTAAAAAAATAAATTAGATTAGACTGGATAATAAAAAATTTAATACTTAATTGTAAAATATAATATTTTTGTTATATGTGGTGTATGTTTGATAACGTAAAAATTTAGTGAGATAATATATAACTTGACTTAAATTGTCATTCTAATTATTACATCATTCTCCATCAGCATCTTCAAAACTAGAGCAAATTTTTTTTTTTTTTTTAAAATGCATATATATTTTTATTTTTGTTAAAGGAATATTATCCAATTTATTAAAACCCACCAAGAGAAAATTTTGGTCGGTCAATTTAGTCAAGTCAAACTCTCAAATTGACTCTTGTGAACCGACTTCTTCTTCCACATTTTCTTAGCCCCAGACTTGCAAAAATAAAAATAAACCAGAAATTGGGTAGGGAAAAGAAATATTTATTTTTTACAAAAATAATTTAATTTTTTAATTTTTTTAAAAAAATATTAAGAAAATAAGATAATTTTAATTTCTTTTTTTTTTTCTCTACTTGAAAAATCTGCTGATGCTAATACTTAAACCCTCAAGTTCTTAAGTGAAGTGAGAAGATTAATACCTAAAACTGTTTAATATAATTAATTAATTGTATCTATCATGTTTAATTTATGGAATCGTACCCATCTGGGCACACGATTATATATATTTATACACACACACACACACATATATATATATATATCCACATTAATTAATCTTCCGTCATATACTTTCTTATTGATCTTTTTATTATTTGTAATTTTAAACTTCTTTATTTTTCAATTCACTACATTATTAAGATAATTTTAATTACGAAAAGCAATAATTTGACTTATGAATCTTCGGAAAGATTTAGAAATGCTTTCCATTTATATAAACACCAAATGATTAGATGAAGGGACAGTGACACCAAAAAGCTTTGGGATGAAATAAAGTAAGCTGGCCGGCTGCCAGGCTTGACTTGTTCAGAATATTCAAGAATAAATTAGTCAAAAATGTCATGTGTGAATTATTAATTTATTAATCCTACTAAACTACATTATTGAAGCAATTAATCTTAAGTTTAATTAGTTCTTACTTTTAATTTTTTTTTTTAAATAAATTATTACAACAAACGATCATTTAAAATCTGTTAAAATTATGTATATATAGTTATTGACGTAGTTATATCTAAAGTATTTATTAACACTTCTATCGTGTTCTCACATCATTTTTTGTCGAATAAAAAAATTACGTTATACATTATAAGACCTAGATTGTAATTTCATATTTTATAAAATGAAAAAGAAACCTAAAAAAAATTGAACAAAAAAAAAAATTATCAGTGCGAACTAATTTATTTTGAATTGAAATGAAATGTTTCTAATGTGCGAAGAACAACGGTTCTCGTAATGATCATGTTGTTTCTAGTTATGCATTAAACTCTAATCAGATACAATTTAGGAATCGAATTATTTACTTTATTGGCTGAACCACCTAGCTTAAATGAAACCCTAAGAAAGAAAGTGTTTTTTCTTTGAGCTTTCCCTTCCCCCTAGCTCATGAATTTATGGAAATTCGTAGGTTATAATTTCTTCCTCTTTTCTCTCCAATCTTAGGATAAATCTCCTCCAAAGAAAATTCATATTTTATTCTCTTCTCATTTAAAATAAAATCTCAATTATTTTTACGTACTCGACATTTCTAATTTAATTAATTCTCTATTAAAGTTTTTGAACGAGCTAGAATTTGAATTGTATCAAAAGATAAAAGGAGATTAGGATTTCAACATTGAATATAAATAAATCTTGAAAAATTCTTAACCTAATTACTTTAAAATGACTCTCTCTTAATTCGATTTTATTCTCGTCGTCTTTTTACATTTAATCTCAAATTAGCATATCTCGTAAAGAGTTTAGGCTCAATTAATATCATATTTTCAGACTCTAGAGTTCAGAATAATTAAAATACTAATATTAGTTGGTGTAGGATTAATATTTAGGATAAATATTAAGGATTTTAATCTTCATTAATTATCTATGTAATTTAGAAAGGTACATTTGTATTTCTTCTTTGCTGGCTCCTCCGTACTTGTCAAGTTATCAAATACCTTTATTTACTTTGCCCTTAGTTATACTTTATAATTAAATTTGAACTAGATTACCCAATTAAATACTTTTTTAGTTAGGTGTTTAAACTTAAATTATAATCTATTTTACTAAATAACTCTAATCATTTAGCCAATGGTAAAATTATCAGCCCTTAATTATTTTACTTCAAATTATAAGTAATTAATAAAGAATTTGATTAGTTTTTCTACATTTTAATTTTACTAAACTCATGATTAAACCCTTTAATTAAATTTACTATCATAACTTAATTGATATCATTAACTAAAATTTGGGCTCACAAAAATACAATATTTCCTCAAACCACCAAGGCTTACGAAAAATTTATTAGGACAAAATATACGATCTTATGAGGCTAAATTGCCTACTAACAATACATTAAATAATCAATTACATTAATAAATAATATAATTAAAGTAATTTCATTTAATAATTACATTGAATTCACATACAATGATATCTAACAATATGGTACACTCATTAATAAAATGTAAATGACATTTCCCAAAAATTACATTCTTTCTGTTTATTGTATTATGTAAAGACATGAGTTATAAATAATGCTAAGCC